GTGCCACCCGTAGCCAGCTCTGAGGCAGCTTGGCATTGATGGTGGCATCCCTGGTGTCCCTGCCTTTGTCCTGCAGCCTGGGCCAGCCCTGCCCCATCCCAGCCCGGTCCTGGAGCTGTTCTGCTGCTGCCCAGAAACCCCAGGGACCACAGCTGCTTCCAGCCCTCCCTGGAGCTGGCAGAGGGAGAACAGCTGAGCTCCGAGGAGCTGAAGATTGCTGTGCTGTAAGAAGCCCAGAAAGCTTTTAACCAAAGCTGGGGATTAAATCCAAAGAGCACAAATTTTAGCTCAGCTTCTCTCTCTGTGTGCTTTAAGTGATTAAAAGCTGTAAAGCGCTGTCAGAAATGCAGGACTTCCCCTCCTGGAGCCCTTCTTTCCCCTTATTTTGTGATTACCATGCTTCACTGCCTCTGTTTGATGTCGTGAGGGTGATTTTTTTAGCATGGAATGGAAAGTCGTGGGCAGCTCTGGCTGGGGCACATTCTGGTCCCTCACTGGGGCCAGGCTGGTGCCTCTGACCCCAGGGGTTTGCCCAGCGTAGGTGGAGCAACACAAAACTCCCTTAAAAAGTCTTTTTTTTCTTCCTTTTTTTTTTTTTTTTTTTTTTTTTTTTTTTTTTTTTTTTTTTTTTTTTTTGGTGTTATTTCCTTCAGTTTTGCTAATCTGAATTCCAAGCTGTTTCCTAAAGCTGTTGTTCGTTGGGAAGCGGAGACGTTCTCCAAATGAGAATATCCACAGGTTGGAAGGGAGCAGCCACACACTGAGATATGCTTGAAATAATCTTTGAGCTTCCCTGATATTGGAGCCATCTGCCAAAGCTCAGCTCCGTCATCTCCCTGGGGATGCTTGAACTCCTCCTTGGCTTTGATTTTTAGATGAATCTTGCTTGAACCTTCTTCTGTCTCTGTTAACTCTCCATCTGTCTCCCTCACTTGACATGCTGCACCCAGGACTGTTCCCCGTGCTTCCCTGGCTGGGAATTGTGTTCTGGGAAGGGCTGGCCCAGGAGGCAGCAGAGGTGACATCCCTGAATTATTCATTCGGCAAAGGACTCAGAAAATTGATTATTGCCTTCTTCAGAACGCTGGGACAAGGAGTTCATGCAATGAAATCAGAGGGATGAGTGGAGCTGGAGTGGATGGCAGGGCTGCTCGTGGGCTGCCTGCTGCTGCAGGAGCTGCTTGGCACAGGCTGGGCTCTGGGCAGGGCTGGGTGCCCTCCTGCAATCCCAGCTCGTGTGCCAGGCTGGCAGCGAGCAGGGCACGAGGGATTTGTCGCCCCGAGCGAGCGCCCGTGCCAGGGGTTGGCTCTGCAGTTGGCAGCTCTGCCTCGAGCCCGTCCTGGGCTGCTGCTGGGTGAGCAGCTGGAAGCTCAGGGGGCTTTTCCCAGCAGAAACCCTGGCCCAGGAGGGATTTTGTGTTCCAAGAGTAAATCTTGGGGCATCGCCGGGCAAAGCAGCTGAGTGTGTGAGGTGAGGGGTGGCAGGGAGCCTCTGAGCCTCCCCCATGCTGCAGCCAGGGGAGGAGGGAATGTCCTGCAGGAGCAAGGCTGGGCTGGGCACGCTGCAGCTGCAGCTGCTGCAGGGGTTTGCAGCACGGCTCCGACCATGCAGCAGCCAACCAGCCTGGCCCTGCGCCGCTGCTGCAGCTCTGCAGCCTGGCCCGCTGCATGCCAGGGACACCCCGGGTCTCGTGCAGCTGCAGCTGGGGCTGCTCGGCTGCTCCCTCCCCAGGGACAGCCCTGCCCTGGAGCGCAGCCAGGCGTGTGTTCTGCAGCCTGCACAGCCTGCAACGCCTCTGGGTGTGCTTTTCTGATCGGCAGCTTCTGGAACCAGCAGGGAATCAGCAGGGAAGCTGCTCCACGGTGTTTCTGGAGGGCTTTTCAGCAGTGCTTTAAGCCAAGACGCCTTTCTCTGGCTGCTTGTACATATATATACACATATATATATATATATATATATATATATATTTAAGCAATACAGTGTTAGCATTTTCTAGCATTTTCTCTCTTTTCATCCCCCACAATAAGACTTCTCCTAGGGTTTGAGAATGCCCTGCTGCTGCTGTGGTTTCTCAGCTCGTATCCCCAACCTTCCAGGAGATCTTTCTTCCCAGGACTGTGTCAGGATCCCAGGGAACAGAGGTGTGTGATCTTGCCCTGATGTTTTGGTGCGGATCTTTTCAGATCTGAGACACTGTGCTGGGGCTGCTGTGAAAAATGTGCATTCCAGCAGATCTCCTAAGGCTGTGGAGCGTTGCTGGGTTCAGGGCTCTGCCTCTCACCTTCCACAGGGTTTGTAGCCTTCCCTTCTCCCAGGACAGGTCTCCCCAGCGCCCTGCTATGGAGCTGGCCCCAAAGGAGATTCAGGGCCAGGAAACCCTCCTGCATTATGCAGTAAGGAGTGGGAAAGGTTAATCTTTCATTCCTGTTGTGTACAAATGGCTTGGGATGTTTGTAGCCAGCCAGTGGGATTTGATAACTTTATTACCCAAATAATAAGATTTACAAATTAATTGTCTAATTAGCAACCTGGGAAAGCTGCTGCTCGTGCTGGGGTTTCTAAGCTGACAAAGGCTTGGGCTGGAGGTGTGAGAGGTGTGATGGCAGCGGGCGGGCACGGCGGTGCAAGGGTCTCTGCAGCTCCTCACTTCCATGGGCAGGGCACGTTCAGGAGCTGAGGCAGGCATGAGATCCTGCTCCTGACCCATTCTGCTGCCCTGCTTTCCCTGCGTGTGCTGGAGCACTCAGGAAACGCTGGAATGTTCCAGTGGATCCTGTGGAGCTCCCTTGGAGGCACTGGGTGCTGCAGGGAGCTCTGCTTTGCCATGCCCGTGCAGGGAGGTGTTCTGTGCTCTGCCTGCCCATCTCCCAGTGGCTCCCCCTTGCACGGACTAGAATCCCAGAATCCTGGAATGCTTTGGGTGGGAAGGGACCTCGCAGCCCACCCAGTGCCGCCCTGCCATGGCAGGGACACCTTCCACCGTGCCAGGCTGCTCCAGGCCCGTCCAGCCTGGCCTGGGCACTGCCAGGGATGGTCTTTAAGGTCCCTTCCCACCCAGAGCATCCCCTGGCAGCCCAGCCTGGTGGCCCTGAGCTTTCCCCTGCCAGCTGCAGGGATCCCAGCCCCAGTGGGGAGCTGCCAGCACAGCCCGGCCCCGGCAGCAGCGCCGCGCTCGGGGGTCACGGAGCTCCCCGGGCTGCACACACGCTTCAGGAGAAATCCCTGCTCGTGGAGCTCCAGTTCCTTCCTTCCTGCTCCCCAGATGCTTCTGTCTCCATGTACAAATGACAGAAATGGTGAGCAACGCTTTCAGGAAAATGTTTGTTTGTTTGACTCAGGAAAGCAAGTGAGAGGTCCTGCGAGGAGAGAGCTCTCGGCAGCTGTTCTGCCTCCAAAACCTTCTGGGTTTGTTTTTGTTCACAATCGAAAACGTGAAAGGGAAAATGAATTCACAGCTGGATGTGGCAGGGCACAAGGAGGGGATTGTGAGGTTCAC